GTTAGGTGTTTAATTGGGGTTATATTTTAGCCTGAATATTGACATTTTAAAATAATAAATGCACATTTTTATTTTTATAAATCTTCTTTTAGTCTTTACAATTCAACATCTGAAAAGGAGCAGTGTTTAGAAGATTGTAAAGGATCTGCAAAAGATTCAAATGAACCACATTGCCATGATTGTCTGCTAACCTGCTAAAGAAAGCAAACTTTTAGGTTGCACACAGTGCACTTGGTCTGATGCTCAGTGCAGTCATTTTCTAATGCTAGTGAGTGTTGACCAAGATTGATGGTGCTGAATGACAGCATAAAATATTAAAATGCTTTTTTTTGTTTTTAAAATTAGAAAAGTAACAACTTGATACATTCACTCTATAATTCTCATCCCTCAGTGTAGTGGTTTCAATAAAGACAGAAAGACAGAAATTTGTATATGAAGGGTAATGTACACAACTGAGAATTTCATAGCAGTGACCAAGCCACATGGGAAGGGAGACAGTAAATATGACTCAAAATTAAACAGAATCATGGAGTCACAGAATCATAGAATTGCTCAGGTTGGAAAAGACCTTAAAGATCATCGAGTCTAACTGCAATCTGACCGTACTACCCTAACTCTAACAACCCTCTGCTAAATCATGTCCCTGAGCACCACATCCAAACGGTTTTTAAACGCATTTAGGGATGGTGACTCAACCACCTCCCTGGGGAGCCTATTCCAGTGCTAAACAACCCTTTCTGTAAAGAAGTTTTTCCTGAGAATGATCAGACATGGTTTGATAGATTGCTTCCAAAACTCAGTATAATAGCTCATTGAATGCATACTTTTGTATGCTGTTGACCATCTTTTTTAGGCCTCTGTCTCCTTTTGTTAGTGTCTCCAGGCTTTTATTATAGTTTTCAGGTTAGGATTATTTCTCTGTTACGTTTGTAAATTACAGTAGCCTTCTCTCATTTGATATAAATGTGTTCATAACCTGTAAATTGTGATCTACCTTAGTTGAGGTCATTGTTTCAAATCTTTTTGTTGATTGTAGGTTTTTGTTTGTTTGTTTGTTTGTTTTTTTAAATTGATTTTCTACCTGATTTTGTAATTAGTTGCAAACTACAGTTTGGAAATAACAGCATGTTGGACTCAATTGATCTATTATGTCTTCAGGTATTTCTTAAATGTGTTGCTTTAGCCACAGAAAACTAACAATAAGAGTTTGGTTTTGCTTCTTATTTGTTTTACTTGCTGAGGTATCTGAGGTCGGAAAATCTGAGTTTTCAACTCATTCAAAGTATTGCCTCATGGCACCTTTGATTGCAAACATCTCATAGAAAACTGTCTGAAGTTGAACTGGAATGGAAGAGCCTGGTCTTTACATTTAACTTTTTATGCCATATATGAAATCCAGTGGACATTATGATCCCAAGCTAGAGATGTACACACTTCAGAGGAAGAAAAAAGATACCAATTCTATCATGGCATCTTTTCAAATCAAAATCCCATATGGTTTTCCATCGTGGAATTGTTTTTCATAATCCATGTATTAGGGTTAAACTTATTACGTTAAAAGCTTTGTTTTTATTCATACAATATCTGGAAGTAGAATGTCTAGACTTTGAATTATATTAAATCCACTGCAGTTTATCTAAGGATTATTTATTTGGGGTTATTTGTACAGAAGTGCCCTTAATGTGTTGATCAGTTTGTTCTTGGCTAGCAGGAACATGACAGTAGGCTGTAACTCGACAATAATCAAAGCACTTATTATTACCATCTTACTTGAATGCTTTGCCATTTTGATATAAGTTGTTCTCAGTTATTTTTACATTTACAACATTACTTCTGGGCATGTTGTCTGAACAAGCTGAATTGAATAGGCTTAGTGGATTTTGATGCTGTACTATAATAGCCTGTTTAAGTGCAGATCATATTCTCAGTTGCAGTTTAGTGGCAGAGCTGTGAACAGCAGCATAGGAGGTGGACCTTCTTCACATATTTTCCAAATGTGAACTTTCAAGATTAGTTCATGGTAGTATACGCGAATGTTGATGATTTTTTTTCTGCATGTTATCAGTATATTTAATAAGTAAAATTTAAAACAAAATAAAACCCAAACCAACTCTTGGTGGGTGAAATAACACTGCTTTTGAAAACTTACCTTCATGTCCAAGAGAAGGCCACAAAAATAATTCCAGGGATGGAACACCTCTCCTGTGAGGACAGGCTGATACAGCTGGAGCTTTTCAGCCTGGAGAGGAGAAGGTCCTGAGAGTGGCCTTTCAGTAACTAAAAGGGAGCTGTAAGAATGAATGGGACAAACTCTTTAGCAGGGGCTGTTGTGATAAGACAAGAGAAATAGTTTCAAACTAAACAGAAGATTTGGACTGAATATAAGGAAGAAATTTTTTTACAGTAAAGATAGTCAGGCACAGGAACAGGCTGCACAGAGGTATGGTGGTTGCCCTGTACCTGGAGACATTCAAGAAAACTTGACTGTTGCATGCACTGGTTTATCTCAAGTGACCCAGCTTTCACCTTGTAAAATCCTAAAACCTGATGAGATAGAACATAAATATATATATATATATATATATATATATATACGTATATATATATATATATATGTATAAAAGATGTGTGTAGACAGAGGAAACAGTTAATAATGTAAATATACAAACACGTGTATATATATATATATATATATATATATTGGGAGTTGAACTTACAGGCTACAAAGAGTAACTTAAATGAAGTCAAATAAGAGCAGCAGTAAATTTATTTGGGATCATCTTTTAAGTTGTTCGTCTAACAATTATTAATGACACAAATGTGTGAGAAGTTGTTTGTGTAATTTAGAAAAATAGGGTGTCACCAAATGTCAAGTCAGAGCTCAATCTTTGTTATGTGGTAAACTCAATTTCTGGAACAGTAGAGATTTTTGAAAACTTACAGTGCATAATAGCTGCTTGAAGTTGGTCTTTTTCAGGTGTAACAAGTTGATATGAAGTCATGCTGGTGCCCTCTGCTGGCATCTGCTGAAAGCTCTTAAGGCCTAACTCAAATCAGACATGATCTCCATGGTTAGTATCTGAAGGATGCTGTTCATCTATTTATTGAGTGTCAGACAAGCTCAAAACCATCTCTTGAATGTAAAATGATTTCTGTTTAAAGCAGCCCGGGGCCAGGCAGAGTGAGGGAGGAGAGGTACAACTACTACCTGTGACTCCTCATCTACTTACAAATCACCAAAAGCCTTAACTTCTACATCCAAAAGCCCTAAAACATAAAAATGTCTGCTTAATTAAATATTTGAACACTGACAACTGTTGGACAGTTTGAAAGGCTGAGGCATGGATTAAAGACATCAAGGGTCATAAGAGTCATATTTCAAGCTACTCAATGAAAACAAACTATGATTCAGCAATTATTATTTTAAAAATACATGTATTCATGTAACTTTGCTTACTGACAGAGTACAAAGAGAAAAAAATATTTCTATTTCAACAGTTACTTAACTACAAAGATTTGGTGCTATCACTGAGAGTTGTCTGAACAGTAAGGAAAGAGAAAGTAACAGAATATTCCACAAAAGAGAGTTTGTATCCCCTTACTTAAATAATCATCTAATCTCAACTGTCCTCAAATCTTTGCATACCCTGTGGCTGTATGGAAATTTTAAGTACACTGTTGACTATCAATCAGCTTTACTATGTTCACAACTGGGCCTTCTGAAAAGCTGTTTCTGTAAGGTATCTCCATTATGTACTTTCTGTGATCCTTTTAATCTTGTTCAGAGGAAGGAATACATCCTTTATTTTCTCTCTGAATAACCAAGGACGAACACCTTATGTAGGGAAAAGATTAGAGAAGGCATGAGGCTTCACTTTTCAAGGGAAGTTTAATATCAGTGTTAGAAGGGACTTGAGGAACTTTAAATGCTAATCTCTCTTACTGTCATCCACTTAAATTCTTTACATTGGATAATCAATGAAAGAAGTCTGAGGATTTTTAATTGTGATTGAGTGTTAGTAAGCGTTCATCAGACATTTGAACTATGTTGATTTTCTCTATATATGCAAAAGTTCTTTCTTGAGCAGAATCCTTTGCACTGGCTTGGTAGAACAAGCTTTGCTTCACCTGTATTTTCACTTAAGGGTTTCTTGCATCTTCACCATTGTGATTGTGTAGAGCAGATTCAAATGTGTTAGTAGAACAAGTTATTGTATCTTGAGATGTTGAACTGTGTTTTTAGAATCATCATTATAGGAAAGAGCAGGTGATAGAGTGAGATTCCAGTACATAGGCTGAAGAATTCAAAATTAAAAGATCTTTGAGATATTACAGAGCCTTAAAATTTCTTATGTATTATTGAGCTATCTTAAAAAATTTTAATCTTGTGATTCTGAATAGCTTTGTATCCACATTACACTGGGTTTGGGAAAATCAGCCAGATCATTGCTAATCTACACTAATTTAATTTAGCATTAAACTAAATACTTTTAAGATAAGAGAACTGCAAGGGAGATGCAAAGAATATTCTGCTTCTGTTTTGGTTACAAACTGTGGCAGGAAAAATTGCAGAAACTTTCATGGAAAAATAGTTTATGGGATAGTTTAGACGTAGTATTAAAAAGAGTGTATTTCATATTTAAATTAGATTCTACCTCCTAGAAAGTGACCACTTGCAGAATGTGGTTTGGTTGAAAACTATAGGTTTTTTAAAAATATTTTATTGATATTTTTGTTTGTTTATTTGTTTTTGTTTCTCTCTGCATAATGGAATCTTGTTAAGACAAAACTAAGCAATGAAGAGTAATATTTTGAACCAGTCCTGCATCTTGCCCAGGTAGATCTTAATTAATAATTTTGCAGATGCTTATCTTTCTTTTTATTTGAATTGTGAAGACAAGGTCAGAAAAAAAGTGCCTCGTTTTGTCAAATAACCATGTTGTGAGACCTTCATGTACTGACACCATACTTATGCATTCTTATTCTTTCCTTAATTTCAGGCGAGCGTCCTTACCAGTGTCCTTACTGTGACAAAGCTTTCAGCAAGAATGATGGACTGAAGATGCATATTCGCACCCACACAAGGGTAAGTGCTTTGGTGGTTATTGAGAATTATTTATAAATCACTTGAGGGGAAAAGTAAATATCTCCTGTTTACACAGAAGTAAGGCTATACTCATCAAGGTATTTCATGCTTACCCAAGTGAGAAGCAAAGACTTAAATCATTAACTGTCAAATTCTCTTGGTAGCCTTCTGTTTTTCCTTTGTTAATTGTCTTTTGTTAAAATAATAACAGTATGGTTTTCTTCTTGTAATCTGTGGTTATTTATAAACTAATATTTGTGATTGTTTCCTAACAAAGCAATTCTAAAAAGGCTTCACCATCTTTTAAACTTCAGTATCCAGTATTTTTATTCTTATTGTTTCCATAAAAACCGGTTACAGTAAGCTTTAGTAGAGGCTGCAGTTTATTAATGGGTGACAAACATTAAGCTGGAAAGAACTGTAGAATCAGTTGACTTGGAAGGGACCATTAAAGATCATCTGGTCCAACTCCCTTGCAGCAAACAGGCACATTTACAGGTAGATCAAGTTGCTCAGAGGTGAGGTGAAACTGCAGCAATACTCAGCTTTCCTTTCTTTTCTAGCAAAGATATGCAGAGCTGTCCTAAAACAGTCAGATGTGAATTCCCATAGGAAAGGGTGATCTCTGACAAAGTCAAGGAGGTCTAACAGTCTCTCTGTTAACTGCCTCTATAAGCCTTCTGCTATAAGAAAAAAAAAAAAAAAAAGTAAAAAAAAAAAAAAATCTAGCTTTTACTGGTAATTGCATGGGAGATGTTGCGGCTTATGGAAATCAAGGCTGCCTGGAGGCCAAACCGATCAACTTCATTATCAGTTAGGATATGAGGGGAGGGGAGTGAAAGTGACTTTTGTGGTTCCCATATGCAAACCTGCACTCAGGATAGCTTTTTGAGAACATGAAGATAATATCAAAGCCACATGTTTTATTTTCTAGCATTTTACCCAGGTCTTCAAGGCATTAACTTGAGGACTTACATTAAGTTGTAGCTAATGGTATAGCTTCCTGGTGTTTCACTGAGAACAGACTAATTCCATGTTGTTCATTACTTCTCCCTGTTTTTGACTGTTGAATCACTTTAAGAATTGCAGTGAAACCTTTTTCTTTTTTTTTTTTAAATTACTGTCTCTTATTATTATTATTTCTTCATAAGGAAAAATTTCATTACCACATATGTGACTGAATGGGAGGAGCGGTAAATAAAACCTTCTGTGTCATAATAAAAGCTTAATTTTTTTCCTGATTTCCATGTATTTTGAGTAAAAGCAGAAAAACCAACACCCCAAAAAACAACTCCAAACCAACAAACAAAAAATCAAACCACCTCAAAACCACCGACATCCTATGTAGAAAAATAGAGGAGAAAAAAAAAAAAAAAAAGAGTTAGAATAGGCCTTTAAAGCCTATATGCCTTTAAAACCTATGAATAGATGCATCTCTGTTGAATATAATACTTTGCAACAGGTGGTGCTTTCTTTCTTCAGAATGCATGGTTGTGAATGAGGCTTGAGAGCTTTACAGACATCATCTTCATTGCTTTAAAATGGTAAATAGACTGTAGAGTGTTTACTTTTAACAGAATTGCTTATCCTACTGCCTTAGCAAATGAAGTGTTTCAATGAAGGAAAGTTGTGTGGTTCCTTCTTGATAATTCTATATTTTTCTGATTTTTGTGTATGTATCAAAGTATTTCAAAAGTTATTTCAAATTGTGCTGAATGGAGCGCTAAATAGAAATGCTCTTCAGCTGAGTGTGCTTGTACTTTTGTAGGATGTTTCTTGCCCTTAGCTATACTTTGAAAAGTAATTGTACACCTTAGTAGAGAATTGTTGGCTTTTAGTTACTTGCTACCATCTCTTTTACATAATTTATTGTTTACATATATTTCCATATGTCATCACATTTTGCCACTCTTACATATAAGCAGAAAAAAATAAAATCTTAGAAATTTACCATCTGATTCAAAATGCTTCAAATAGAACTGAAAGGCAAACTGAGAACTTACACTGATGTGAGAATAAGAGGAAAAAGAAAATAATTGAAACTACTTATGAGCGATGGAAGAAAAATTCAACCAGTGCTTATTATTTAGGTAATAGGAAAGGGAAGAGTTAGAAAACAACTTTTACAGACTTGAGATTTTTTTCTGAATAAGTGTAGACTTTATAATCAGAGAAACTGAAATTTTATTACACTAAGAGGGTAATAAAATCTGATTTTAAATGTATCAAACAATGTGCTGTTACAGTATCCTTACAGAAGGAAAGAATGAGATATTATGTACAGCTCAGTTCATGCCAAATGTGATTTGAGTGTTTCCATATACTTAGACTGTAGTGATTGTCCATATACAGTTTATATTTCAGGTTTTTTTTCTTTTTTTTTTCCTATGTGTAAGTGTGCTAAGCAGATGAACAGAAATCTTTACCATTTCATTAGATAATTAAAAATATGCAGGCACAAAAGGAATTCTAAACAATCATGTTATGCTTCTTTTTCTGTCATGTTGTTTATATGTTACTCCTTTTACGAAGCTTCACAGAGAAGCTAATTTACATAGAAAAGGCATGTTATATTAGTTTTTCCCCAAATTCCATTTTTTTGAATCAGATATAGATTGACTGCTATAGAAGAGGTGCTAATTCTCCAGCATTCCTGTTCATTTTTTCAGATTATCTCTTCACTCTAGTTTTCTGGGTGTGATGAAGACTTAAAAAGATTAAAATGGTTTCCTTTACAAGGCTGGTATCTTTACAAATTTGTATGTTAATGATAAGCTGGATTGCTAGTTTTGAGCATCTTAGATCTTTAACCGAACATAGACTGAAAATTCTGAGCTACTCATGTCAGTTGTTTCTGAAGCCTCTCTTTAGGTGCTTGCAGTGTTTGTGGTGGAGTTCTTCGTTCTGGAACTCAGAGACTGCATCTATGGTAGCAAGTAGCAGTGCAGTAGCAGTTACATAAAGTGAAACAATTGGGCCTGAAGACCTGCTGTCACATTGTATGTGTTTCGAGGATTTTATTGAGCATTTTGTGTAGTCTTGTCATTCGCTGCTGCAACACCCCCTGCTATGCATCTTCAGCTATAGCTAGCAACATGGAATAAGCATAATTTTAGCACCCTTCCTCAAGAGCTTTTCCTGCAGATATCTTGAAAAAAAAAAAAAAAAAAAAAAAAAAAAAAAAAAAGTTTTGTCTTTTGGCCAGAAAAATTGTGAAGTAACTTACATGTAATAATATGACGTTTAACAATTCAAATTTAGGTATGTTTTACTAGTGGGATAAAATGCCAAACCTGATCCTGTGAATCAGGGAAGACTGCTGGAAAAATCATTTTAGAAAGTTGAAGTCTGGCAGCTGCTAAACTTGGTACAACCTGGGTGGCCACAGGTGTCAGCTCAAACTCTAGAGTAAGCAGGGAGGGTAAGCCAAAATTCCTACTGACGATATAAGGAGAAGAAAATACCATATAATATTAAAATTTCACTGGAGTGTCAATTTGCTTCTTTAAAAGCAGATGTGCCTGATTTGTTTGGTTTTCTTAAGAAGTGTAACAGCCTAAGAAAACATAAATGAGAAACTCAGTGAATTTCTTAATGAAGTATATTTATAAACTACAGGCTGTATTGAGGAAATATGCATCCACTCTTTGCTGTACAGTAAAGTTTACCTTTTCCCTAAGGCTCTGTTCTGCACTAGGCACAATATTATGTAGAATAAAGTTAAACAGGGAGAAAATACTGCAATGTAATTGTTAATGTTTGGAAATTTAGTGGTTGATAGGTGCCCACAACATTTGACACGACAGTAATTATTGCTCTGTCCAATGGATATTTTCAGTACTTTTGAAAATGTAGATTTATTACATTGTTTCAGTTAAATACATGGCAGTGATGGAAAACAGGTAGCATAGAAGTCATTCCCAAATGCTCTTTCATCATTTGGTTAGAATATTTCACATTTATGCTTCTAATGTGTAACAGATAGATCTGACTTCTGTAGTTTGCTTAAAAATCTGATTTCTGATGGTTGAAAGGCTGCTGGCTTTAATTCTTGTTGTCTGTTTCTGAGTTAGTAGTTGAAAAGTAGAGAAATTGCAGTGTATTCTTAGCTACATTTCCTTTTTTTCTTTATGCATAGATTCCTACTATTTTAAAAAAATGTATAAATGTTGAACTATGTTTTTAAAAGTTCAGAAATGTAAGAAATGAACAAATCAGGTGGCATTTTTCTTGTAGTTTTGCCACTAACTTTTCCACACATGAAATACATGGCCGGCTATTTCCACATACACAGACATTAAGTGGAACTGGACTGTAGATTGCAATTGATGTGTATTTTTGGATACATAGAATCATAGTATATCCCAAGCTGAAAGTAACCCACAGGGGATGATCATCAAATCCAACTTCTGGCTCAGCAATTCCATATATTTCTATGATTTTAAAGTCAACTCTTGAATTCCTAAATTCCGCAATTATTTTTTCAATGATGGCTGAGAGAATTAGTCTCACTGAAGCTTGAATGAATATATTTGTATGGGTTGCAATCATATGAGTGGGTTCAGTGTAAATATATGCTTAGAAGTTAATCACTCACTGGATTGTCTTCTACCCTTCTTAAAAATGGGACTTCACCAGACTGCCATGACTTTATGAATATCATCGAGAGTGACTTGGTGATTGTGTCAGCCAGTTCCCTCAGGACTCTGGAGTGCATCTCAAGACCCATAGACTTACAGATGTTCAGGTTTCCCAGTTGGTTGTGAACCTGATATTTGTGTACAGCAGGAGGGACACTGCTCCTTTCCCCCCTCCCCCTCCAAATTGCCATTGTCCTCTCCACCCACAAAAAAAAAAAAAAAAAAGAAAAAAAAAAAAGAAAGCTTTGGGTACTAAATATAGTCTTCTATGAACAAAACTATCAATGAAATAATATAGAAGGTGTTGATTGAATTTCTCATTTTTTTTCATTATTTTCTCTATATTTCCCCATTGGTGTA